CGCCCTTAGCCCTTCCTGATCCTCAGCATTCGGGGTGACAAGGATGTGGGAAGACACTTTTCCTCTCTCCCTGGGGCTGGGTGTGACTTCAGAAGGTTAATCTTTTTTTAAAAAAAATATGTTTTTTATTGAATTTAGAGAGAGGAAAAGAGAGGGAGAGAGAAAGAGAGAAATATCAATGATGAGAGAGAATCACTGATTGGCTGCCTCCTGCACGCCCCCTACTGGAGATGGAGCAGACAACCCGGGCATGTGCCCTGACCAGGAATTGAGCCGTGACCTCCTGGTTCATGGGTTGATGCTCAACCACTGAGCCACACTGGCCGGGTGAAGGTCATCTTTTTCCCTCTCGGTGCAGGAGCAGCTAGAAGCAGCCCTGGAGCTGACCAGACAGCAGCTGGGCCAAGCAGCCAGGGAGGCTGCGGCTCCCCCGCGGGCCTGGGGGCGCCAGCGCCTCCTGCAGGACAGACTGGTCAGTGTGAGGGCCACTCTTTGTCACCTGACTCAGGTGAGCATCTGGGAAGGGACCTACCCTCCCAGGGGGCCCCAGGACTCAACAGGTGGTTCCTGGAGGGGACCGAACCCCAAGGGCTCATGGGAAGGTAGTTCTTGAGAATCGCCCGCTCCCCGAATTTTAATCCCGTGCTCTTGTCTGTCCCAGAGGGTGAGCAGCCAGGAAGCTGCAGAACTTAATTGCATGGTTTAAGAGGGTGCGTTTGATAAGGATTCCTGAACCTCAGCTCCCACTCACGGAAGCTGTGTGAGCTTAGAAAAGTTACTTAACCCCTCTGGGCCTTAGATCCCATCAGATGCCTCTTATGTAAACTCGAGATGGAAAATACAGTATTTACTTCATAGGGTCACTGTGAAGATTCCATAAATATACGTAAATGAATGAATGAATATTTAACACGTAGGTACCTGGCAGCTGATAAGCACTAGTTAAGTGTTAGCTATAAATATTATCATCTGTAAAATGGAAACACGAATAGTACCTGTAGCACAGACTTAAATGAGTGCCAAGAACGGTGCCTAACACACATGAAGTGCCTGATAAATATTCGCTGCTATAATTATTACTGTGGGTGAGGAGGTTTCTGCTGCCCAGGAGTGCATCGGGGTGTGGTCTTGACTAGCCCAGGGATTCACCAGGTGTGCCCCAGGGCGGCACAGAGGTGAGGGTTCAGAGACAGCTGTTCTTTCTCTCCACTAGCAGCTCTTTGGAGTGGCAGGTTCCTTATAGGCGCTGGGGTTCCCGGTAGTTGGAGCCAAAAGGCCTTTGGGAATTGTAGTCCAGGTACTGCCGCAGGACACCAGGCACCAGGCTTGCCTTCTTCCTCCTTATTTGGAGTAGGAACCATCTAGCGGGCGGGCATGCTAACCCTGTGTCTCCCCTTTCTGGGACCCGAGGAGCGAGAGCGGGTTTGGGACACGTACAGCGGCCTGGAGCAGGAGCTGGGCACCTTGAGAGAGACCCTGGAGTACCTGCTGCACCTCGGGTCCCCCCAGGTACGTTCGTCCCTGTCCCAAGCCCCCAGCCCCACTCTCCACTCCAGGTCCACCTGGAGACCCTTTGGGCATTGAAGCCCCTCCCACAGATTGAAGTACTTCTCACTTTATCACAAGCTCCTCCCCTTCTCTCATTTCCTCCCTTTTCTTTTCTCCTTTTTTTCAATAATCACCCGAGGATATGGCCGGGCCCTCCCCTGGACTCATCCTTCCACCAAAGCTGGGAGACAGATGTAAGTGCTCCGGGATCCAACCGCTGCTGAGTTCCAGGATTGGGGAGAGAATATTCTAGGTGTGTGTGTGGCAGAGAGAGAGAGAGAGAAACATCAATGTGAGAGAGGAACATTGAACAGTTACCTCTCTTATGTGGCCCAACCAGAGATCGAACCCCCAACCTAGGTATGTGCCCTGACCGGAAATCGAACCCACGACCGTTAGGTGTAGAGGATGATGCGCCAAACAACTGAGCCACACCAGCCAGGGCTGTTTCCTTTCCTTTTAAATCCCTTATTATAGCCCTAACTGGTTTGGCTCAGTGGATAGAGCATCGGCCTGCGGACTGAAAGGTCGCAGGTTCGATTCCGGTCAAGGGCATGTACCTTGGTTGTGGGCACATCCCCAGTGGGGAGTGTGCAGGAGGCCGCTGAATCGATGTTTCTCTCTCATCAATGTTTCTAACTCTCTATCCCTCTCCCTTCCTCTCTGTAAAAAAACCAATAAAATATATTTAAAAAAATAAATCCCTTATTATAGTTCACACCAAGCTCTTCACTTTAAGACCTACTTTCGGGCTCAGAATCACTCTCCCTCTGGTTTAAATCTCTCCTCTTATTTTTTTTTATTTTATTTTTTAAAAAATATATTTTATTGATTTTTTACAGAGAGGAAGGGAGAGGGATAGAGAGTTAGAAACATCGATGAGAGAGAAACATCGATCAGCCGCCTCCTGCACATCTCCTACTGGGGATGTGCCCGCATCCCAGGTACATGCCCTTGACTGGAATCGAACCTGGGACCTTTCAGTCCGCAGGCCGACGCTCTATCCACTGAGCCAAACCAGTTTCGGCTCTCCTCTTATTTTGAAGCCCTACTCTCTGTGTCAAAACTCCTCTCATCAGCCCTGTCCCCATCCTGCAAGTTCATCCTGACTTTCGCTGTTGAATGTATCCTCTGAATTTCCAGTCCTAAAGCCAGTCCCTTAGTTCGAGGCCCACTTCTGAAGGATAAACCCTGTTGCTTACTTAGCCTCAGACCCACCTCTTCTTCATGCTCTGCCTAGCAATCGAGTTTCAAAATCATCTATTTTTTTTAAATACCCACCTGAGGATACGTTTTTATTGATTTTAGAGAGAGGGGTAGGGAGAGAGGGAGGGAGAGAGAGAGAGAGAGAGAGAGAGAGAGAGGCATCAATTTGAGAGAGAAAAATAATTTGGTTGCCAGGAGATTGAACCTGTCACCCAGGCATGTGCCTTGACTGGGAATTACACCTGTGGCTCTTCAGTGCATGGGACAATGCTCCAACCAACTGAGCCACATTGGCCAGGGCCAAAATCATGTATTTTTTATTTTATTTATTTATTTTTTATTGATTTCAGAGAAAAAGGGAGAGGGAGAGAGAGAGAGAGAGAGAGAGAGAGAGAGAGAGAGAGAGAGAGAAACATCAGTGATGAGAGAGAATCATTGATCAGCTGCCTCCTGCAAGCCCCATACCGGGGATCAATCCCGCAACCCAGGCATATGTCCAGACCTGGAATCAAACCGTGACCTCCTGGGTCCTAGGTCAACACTCAACCACTGAGCCACTCTGGCTGGAGCCAAAATCATACATCTTTCGTTAAAAACATTGACTTCGAGTATTAAATGTGTACTTACAGATTTAAGCCCTGACTTCTTCATACTAAACTCTCCCAACTTCTTCCTAAAATCCACCATTTAACACTAACCCCGCCTAGTGGTGTTAAATATTACTTACCACCAGCAATATATGAAGAGAATAATGAATACCTCACAACCAAATTGGGTTTGCTACGGGAATGCAAGGTTAGTTTTAACACTTGAAAATCAGTCCATGTATTTCACCACATTTGGCAAAATAATAGGGGAAAACCACATGGTTGTCTCAATAAATGCAGGGGGAATGACAACATTCAACACCCCGTCATGATAAAAGCTCTCAGCAAAGTAGAAATAGAAGGGAAGTTCCTTAATCTGATAAAAGGTATTTATAACAAATCCACAGCAAACATGGTCAGTGAAATATGGAAAACTTTCCTCCTGATATCTGGAATAAGGCAAGGGTGTTGCCCTAGCTGGTTTGGCTTAGTGGATAGAGCGTCAGCCTACGGACTGAAGGGTCCTGGGTTCGATTCCGGTCAAGGGTACCTGCCTGGGTTGTGGGCTTGATCCCTGGTGGGGGGGCGTGCAGGAGGCAGCCGATCAATGATTCTCTCTCATCACTTATGTTTCCACCTCTCTCTCCCTCTCCCTTCCTCTCTGAAATAATAATTTTAAAAAAGACAAGGGTGTCTGCTATCACCAATTGTAGTCAACATTGTACCAGAGGTTTTAGACAGTACAAGTATGAAATAAAAAATTAGGTATAAGGACAAGAAAGGAAGAAGTAAAGCTATTCTTATTTACAGATGACATGACTGTGTATATATGTAGAATATCCAAGTAGTTTCCAGCTCTCGCCGGTTTGGCTCAGTGGATAAAGCACCGGCCTGTGGACTGAAGGGTCCCAGGTTCGATTCCGGTCAAGGGCACATGCCTCAGTTGCAGGCTTCTCCCCGCTCTGCTCTCCCAGGTCAGCGTGCATTCAGGAGGCAACTAATTGATGTATTCCTCTCACATTGATACCATTTCTGTCTTTCCCTCTCTCTTCCACTGTTTCTGAAAATCAATGGAAAAATACCCTCGGGTGAGGATAAATAAATAAATAAATGCACACATTTTTAACAACAAAAAACAAACCAAAAAACCCCCACAGCCGGAGCCGGTTTGGCTCAGTGGATGGAGCGTTGGCCTTCGGACTGAAGGGTCCCAGGTTCGATTCTGGTCAGGGGCATGTACCTTGGTTGTGGGCACATCCCCGGTGGGGGATGTGCAGGAGGCAGCTGATCGATGTTTCTCTCTCATCGATGTTTCTAACTCTCTATCTCTCTCCCTTCCTCTCTGTAAAAACATCAATAAAATATATTTTAAAAAATAACACAGGGTAATATTGACACAAGGTCAGACAAACGGACCAAAGAAATTGAATAGGGTGTTCAGAAGCAGACTCACGTACATTGATACGGCCCCCTATTTAAGACAGAGGTACCACTGCAGAGCAGTGTAAAAAAGACAGTGTGAGTGATAAATGGTGGTGAGGTGACAGGATCTCCATATGGAAATGGATAGCCACAAATACAGCCTCGATATGCCCACATAGTCCATTTATTTATTTTTATTTTATGTATATTTTTTTATTGATTTCAGAGAGGAAGGGAGAGGGAGAGAGAGAGAAACATCAATGATGAGAGAGAATCATTGATTGGCTGCCTCCTGCACGCCCTCTACTGGGAATATAGCCCGCAACCTAGGCATGTGCCCTTAACCGGAATCGAACCTGGGACCCTTCAGTCCGTAGGCCGATGCTCTATCCACTGAGCAAAACCAGCTAGGGCCATAGTCCATTTATGACTCCATAAATACAGCCCAGCTGGTTTCAGATCCTGCCTGTGGCCTATCAGCTTTAACCCTCTTGCATTTTCCCACCCCCAGGACAGAACGTCCGCTCAGCAGCAGCTGTGGATGATGGAAGACACCCTGGCAGGTCTGGGGGGCCCCCAGAAACCACCCCAAAGCACTGAGCCTGACTCCCCGTCTCCTGCACTCCAAGGCGAGGAGTCTTCAGAGAGAGAGGTGAGGTTTGCACACCTCTCTTCCCATCCCCAGCTTCCTGCCCCACCTGCCCCTGGCCAAACGCATCACCCACTCACCTCTTTCCCTCTCCTTTGACCAACTAACCAACCTCAGACGAGTATCCTAAGCTGCGGAAGCCTGAGTTTCCTTATTTGTTACATGTGAGCGTAAGCCAGGGGTGTGCTGGACCCACTCCCCCCCCACCCCCCACCCCCTCAAGGGCCAACTGCGGGCATCACTTCCCAGCTCCACATTCAGTGACGTCCTGTTGAAATTGACCACAGTGGGAATATTTACACCACGGTAATTGGCAAACATACAAACCAGGGCTGTTTTCTCCCAGAGAGGCATTGCTTAAACTTCTGATCAGAACCCCCGCCTTGCAGAGCTCTGTAAGAAGGAGAAAGGATGCCGGGGGCGTGCCTGACACAGAGTCGGCCCTCGGGGGCAGGAGCCACTATTGTCTCATCTGGGTTAGGGCCGCTGCTTGCCGTGAGCTTCAGAGCATGCACGGAGGAGCCCTAGGTTCAGACCCCAGCCTTGCCTTCTTGGTGACATCAGTCATTGACCGCACTCTCTGAGCGTCAGTAGAATAAGAATAGGTGTCTCATAGATGTATTGAGGGGATTTAATAAAACAGGAGAAGTACTTAGCACCATGCCAGATGCATCATTATTATAAAACCCCCCACTTATAATGCCCCGTCCTGTGCCAGGCACCGTTCTAAGGGTCTTCCATGAGGTTTCGATCCTCATATAAGAAGTTTAAATGTGGCCCAGAGGGGTCGAGTAACTTGCCCAAGATCACACAGCTAATGAACCACAGAGCGGAGGTTGGTCATCTGGCTGCTGGTTTTCCATCTTAATCCTATTGTGCTGTGTCTCAGTTGCCAGGTGCTTAATACGTGGTAATAATAACGATGCTGATAATCATTTTTCCTCTTCCCCAACCCATCCAGAGTCTGCCTGAATCCTTGGAACTGAGCTCACCCCGGTCCCCAGAAGCCGACTGGGGGCGGCCCAGCACTGAGCCTGACTCCCCGTCTCCTGCACTCCAAGGCGAGGAGTCTTCAGAGAGAGAGGTGAGGTTTGCACACCTCTCTTCCCATCCCCAGCTTCCTGCCCCACCTGCCCCTGGCCAAACGCATCACCCACTCACCTCTTTCCCTCTCCTTTGACCAACTAACCAACCTCAGACGAGTATCCTAAGCTGCGGAAGCCTGAGTTTCCTTATTTGTTACCTGTGAGCGTAAGCCAGGGGTGTGCTGGACCCCCTCCCCCCCCTCCCCAAAGGCCAACTGCGGGCATCACTTCCCAACTCCACAATCAGTGACGTCCTGTTGAAATTGACCACAGTGGGAATATTTACACCACGGTAATTGGCAAACATACAAACCAGGGCTGTTTTCTCCCAGAGAGGCATTGCTTAAACTTCTGATCAGAACCCCCGCCTTGCAGAGCTCTGTAAGAAGGAGAAAGGATGCCGGGGGCGTGCCTGACACAGAGTCGGCCCTCGGGGGCAGGAGCCACTATTGTCTCATCTGGGTTAGGGCCGCTGCTTGCCGTGAGCTTCAGAGCATGCACGGAGGAGCCCTAGGTTCAGACCCCAGCCTTGCCTTCTTGGTGACATCAGTCATTGACCGCACTCTCTGAGCGTCAGTAGAATAAGAATAGGTGTCTCATAGATGTATTGAGGGGATTTAATAAAACAGGAGAAGTACTTAGCACCATGCCAGATGCATCATCATTATAAAACCCCCCACTTATAATGCCCCGTCCTGTGCCAGGCACCGTTCTAAGGGTCTTCCATGAGGTTTCGATCCTCATATAAGAAGTTTAAATGTGGCCCAGAGGGGTCGAGCAACTTGCCCAAGATCACACAGCTAATGAACCGCAGAGCGGAGGTTGGTCATCTGGCTGCTGGTTTTCGATCTTAATCCTATTGTGCTGTGTCTCGGTTGCCAGGTGCTTAATACGTGGTAATAATAATGATGCTGATAATCATTTTTCCTCTTCCCCAACCCATCCAGAGTCTGCCTGAATCCTTGGAACTGAGCTCACCCCGGTCCCCAGAAGCCGACTGGGGGCGGCCCCCCGGGGGGGACAGAGGCCCTGCCAGCCCTCGCTCAGGTGAGCACCCTGGGCCGGGAGGGACACGCATGGCATCCCCTGTCCTCACCACGTCCCGTTCTGCCCTTCCAGGTGTTAGATCTCCCAGGATCTCCCAGGCTTCTAGCCCCGAGGGTCGCTGCCCTCCCTCCCCACAGCCAGGAGCCAAGGTAGGCAGCCTATTGGGCCCCTCCGGCCCATCTTGTAACGTTTCCATCTGGTCAGCACGGATCACCCACTCTTGGGGGGAAGGGGGTTCTAAGGCCACAGCCCAGATCAGAGAGAATGTGACTTAAGAACATTGGGATTACATTTTGTCTCTGCCACCGCTAAGCTGTGTGACTTCAGGCCAGTTACTAAACCTCTCTCTGCCTCCATTTTCTCACCTGCAAAATGGAGCTGATAGCAGTGCCTACCACCTAGAGCTGATGTGAGGATTCAAACTAGATGAATGCCCAGAAAGGGTTGGAAATAGTGCCTGGATATAGTAAGTACTTCATTCATTCATTCATTCATTCATTCATGTACCTATTCATTGACTCAACAAATATTGATTCAATATCCTCTTCACTGTCCGATAAGATAGCCAGTAGCCACATGTGGCTGTTTACATTTAAACGAAATAAAATTAAAAATTCACTCACACTCACCACACTGCCATTGCTCAGGGGCAGATAAAACATTTCCATCACTGAGGAAAGTGCTCACGCACAGAGGTGTTTAGGCGCTGAAGTCGCAGGTGTGAGCAAAATGAGAAAAAAACTTTTTTTCCCCTTATGAATCTGGTCTTCTAGTGGATGTCAGAGGCAGATCATAAACAGCCAATTTACTGTAGCCCTGGCTGGTGTGGCTCGATGGTTACAGTGCTGGCCTACACATCGAAGGGTTTCGGGTTTGATTCCTGGTCAAGGGCATATACCTGGGTTGCAGGTTCAATCCCTGGTTCTGGTCAGGGCATGTTTGGGAGCCAACCAATTGATGTCTCTCTCTCTCTCTCCTTCCTCTCTTCCTTCCACTCTCTAAAAATCATTGGGGAAAAAGTGCAAAATTTTGCAGATTCTAGACCGGTAATATGGTGCATACACTGTGTATTATATAAAATCTCCAGCGATGCCTGGCGCAGCATTCTTAACCAAACACATTAACATTTCTTCAATAAAATGTATGAATATTCATATTAAATGGGATAAAAACTATAAATAACATCTCATTTAAATGTCAAGTTTTTTAAAATAGCAATAATCTACTAAATGAGCAAGTCAGAGTAGAATAAAAATAGAAATATTGGGCACTTTTTATTTCTTTTTAAAAAATATTTGTATTGATTTCAGAGAAAAGAAGGGAGTGGGAGAGAGAGAGAAACATCCTATATAGTAAAAAGGTAATATGCAAATTGACCCTAAGAGGGGAATGACCGGTCGCTATGACAGGCACTGACCACCAGGGGCAGATGCTCAATGCAGGAGCTGCCCCCTGGTGGTCAGTGCGCTTCCACAGGGGGAGTGCCGCTCAACCAGAAGCCGGCTCATGGCTAGCCAGCGAAGGATGTCTGATTAACAGCTTAGGCCCATTCCCGCTGTTAGTCAGACATCACCTGAGGGCTCCCGGGCTGCCAGAGGGCGCATGCTGGGCTGAGGGACCCGCCCCCTCTGCATGAATTTTCATGCACTGGGCCTCTAGTTAATAAGAATCATTGATTGGCCCTAACCGGTTTGGCTTGGTGGATGGAGCGTCGGTCGGCCTGCGGACTGAAGGGTCCCAGGTTCGATTCCAGTCAAGGGCATGTACCTTGGTTGCGGGCACATCCCCAGTGGGGGGTGTGCGGGAGGCAGCTGATCAGTGTTTCTCTCCCATCAATGTTTCTAACTCTCTGGCT